TCAATTTCGTCTAAATTAAAAGCTCGTTGTTTACCGGGGAACACATTTAGACCATCAGAACAGCAACAATTAATTTTATTCCGGGTGACAATCAATATTAGGACGGTAATTAAAAGCGTTAATGAGAGATGGGAAATTCGACTGACAGGGGTAACTCGGTTATCGCATTACCACGTTTATCACGAGCTGTTTTAAGCTGGGAATTTAAGATGGCCCAAAAAGTAATTATCGGTTCCCGTTAATGTTAGATCCTGCAGCGGCGCGGCTGTACTTTTATTCTGTCACGTTATTGGAAAGATAATGGCGGCAGAACGGGTAAACGAAAGGGAAAGAGAACCTTATCCACGGATACTCACGACCCAAGAGTAACTTCAAAACACTTAACGTTTTATCTACCGACAATCTATTAACACATTGGCCGCCGCGTCATTCATATAATTGTACAGTGTAATACAAAGTTAATCTCAAAATTAATGATATTAACACTAGAAGTAAGTACGTACCAGTCAAACCAGTTTCTGTTTTCTTGTTTAGTAATTGTTGATATCTCAAAAGCATTCAATATTCAAAACAATTTTGAAAATAAATAGTTTCATTTAAATACTATAATGAATGCCTGAATAAACTGAAAATAATCTATTGTTACAATTCGTATAGGGATTACATATCAATTATATTAAATGCTTGGTAGTTCTAATGTTAAGAGTGTAAATATAAGGAAAAAGTGTTTGTGTTTCTTAACGGAATAATAATTCTTCTTCTGTGATTAATGTATGCCCTTATAATTTCATATCTTGCCACAGGAGCAAACGCTTCCTCACAATCCACACCTTTCTTTTGAGTATTATCTCGTGCTACAAATTTAGCTTTGCATTTATTAATAGAACCATTTTTGTTATATTTAATTTTGAATACCCATCTATTAGAAAGAACCCTTTTACTTTTTGGTCTCGAAAATAGAATCCACGTTTTGTTTCTCTTCAGTGCTTCATACTCCACTTGCATCGCTTGTGGTCATAATTGTGCATCTTCTATAGTATCTTGATTATCTTCATCTATTTTTCTATCATATTAAATAATTTTCGTGGTTTATGTTTCTTTCCTGTTCTCAATAGTTTCGATTTTGCTGGTTCTCGTTTTATATTTTTATTATCAACTTGTGGTGTATCATCTATTTCAATTGTTTCTTGGTTCTCCACTTCTTATTCTTCACGTTCTTCTTTTGTGATTCTTCATAATTAATATTTATAAATAATGGAATGAAATCATTGCCGTTATCATTGACATTATTGTTTTTAACTTCTTTCTTCTGAAATTTGTCGTTTCGATAAATTTTATCTCTTGCTTTAATTACGGTTTTTCAATTTTCTTTCCACAGACGATATGCTTTCGATATATTGTCATATTCGACTAATATATATTCGTCTCCTTTCGCTTAAAATTTTCCACATCTTCCTCTTTTGTTAACTATTGTTCTACTTCATATAATACTTAAAAATTCTACATTCGGATTCTTGTTTGTCCAAAGTTCAAATGGAGTCTCATTATTTAAAATTTTAGTTGGACATCTGTTTTTTAAGTACGAGTATGATTCACTCGTTCAGCTACTTCATTCTGCTGGGGTGTGTATTCCACAGTTAAGTGGCGCGTTACACCTTCTTTTTCTAAAAATCTTGTAAATTAATTTAAAGTATAGTCCTTAACATTGTCGGTGCGTAGTCGCTTGATCGAACATCTTGTTAATTTCTCCACTCTTCGTTTGTAGTTTAAAACAAAAAATAGTTAAAAACTTTCGATTTACGACGTAACATTATTGTTTCGGTGTACCTGCTATAATCATCGATAAATGTAACAAAATACCTTGTACCATCAATTGATTCTGTTTTCATAGGACCGCATATATCGGAGTATACTATTTCAAGCTTTTCTTCCATTGTACGATCTGAATGCATCTCCGTGAGTCTTTCAATATTTTACAAACTGCCTATGGACGCCATTTCTGTACGTAATGAACAAATTATTTATTTTTTCTTCCATTAACTATTTGGACTACTTGCTTATTTCCTGGGTCCACAACCTAATAGAATTACGCAGTGTAATGTGTATTGTAAGGCATTTAATAAACCAAATATATAAAATCCACAGATCAAATTGACAGAATAACATACGACATACAGAACACAAAACACAGGCAAATAACGCACACTCCAAGTTCACTCGCAACACTTTACATCGATTAGGTAAATGGCATTTATCCAGCAACGACAAATTTTCAAACCTATTTTTCTCGAAAACGAAGCTTGGTATGAACACATTTTATTCTACGTTTTCGATTCAGTACTTCACGTAGGACCTACTCGCTTGTACGGTACACCCAGTATATCGATTCATACACTTCTCCAACAAGCTTAGGGTTTGAACGGACCCAAACGTGGTACGGTGAAGGTAAAACAATGAAAATAAAAAGAGGAGAGGATTGGAGGGACGGGAAAAGGGAAGAAAAAAGAATAGAAGGGCTGGTGATCCTAGGCGCGACAAGAAATTCGGTATTTTCGCTCGCGCACGATAAGCCGAACGTCTCCGCCGCGCGCCGCCCGGTCGGAAGGCATTATTGACTTCCGTATTATCGTACGCGGTCCCGTGATATAGCATGTTGGTGCAGTATAACAACCTTCGCCGGACGTAATGCAGAATTCGAGATTTCCGTTATGCAGTGACTGAAAAGCACGGAAACTCGAGTACATCCGCGGATTAGCATAAACACTGTTGTCTTTCGGGGATCGAATAACGGCTATGGAAGATTTGATCTATCCTGTGGAAACACGCTCGAGCAATTGGTCAAGCAACCGAGTTTCACCTCTGGGACAATACTGGGCGAACCGTGGCCAAGATACGACTATTACACCGGGGGCCGGTTGATAAGTGTTGCACGTGCTCGGATATCATGAGAACGAAAGGTAGGTATTAACCCTTTGTACTTGATTTATTTTCAATGTCGTTGGCTGTAAAGTTGTAATTATTTTTAAAGAAACGAATTAAAGTAATTTATAGCGGTAGAATTCAACGTTTTATATTTATTTTATTTATTATTATTATTACAAGGTTTAATTTTTATAATTTTTTGAAGTACCATAAATAAAGTAGTACAAATTTTTATTCTCATCTCCAACATGACATAAGAGTGCAAAGGGTCAATCAGTACCAGTCAAAATGTCGAGTTTCATTCGAAACTTTAACGGAACACTGCAGAAGCTCTCGGGAACCTAGTGGATGTGTATAACCAGCATAACCGAGCCTTAAAGAATGTAAGAGAAACCGTTAATGAATGGAACGCCATGATAATATCAATAATTTTCCCCAAGGTTAGCTCCGAAACAGTAGAGGATTGGGAGTTAACCTTGAGAGATAAAAGCGTTCCCTCGTATAGCAACCTATTGGAGTTTCTTGAAAAACGCGCGAACTGCAAGTTCAGCACTAATAAATCACAATATTTTAATCAACGAGCATCCTCACCCACACATCTACATCAAGAAACATTAAACTAGCAAATCAAATTATCATCTCCGGAGAGCCTAGACGTATACCTGCGGAAAACGCTATTCAGTCGAGTCATCGGAAGGAGCGTGCCATCAAGTAAGCCTACCAAAACAAAGAAATGTCATTCCATCGGTTCTTTAGAAATAGAGCTTGGTCGATTCTGGGAATTCCCAGACGAACCACTAGAACAACTTCTCTCTCAGATACGTCACAAGTTTGTCTCGCTCACATATCTTACTCCGCGCGTAAGTCTCCAGAATGCGACAGTCAAATCGTTCAAGTACCATTTAAAACGTGTCGCTGGGACTGAGCTATTCACATTCGAGGATTTTAATACTTTAATAATTGAAATCGAGGCCGTTTTGAACTCTCGTCCCCTTACTTCAATTTCCTCTGATCCTGACGACTTATTAGCACTCACTCCAGGCCACTTAATCACTAATAGGTTGCCGAATTGGCAACGGACACAAAACACGAAACAACAGTTCTGGACCCGTTGACACCGGAAATACATAAACGAATTCAATACCCGCAGTAAATGGAACAACGGCAACCACACTGTCAAGGAAGGAACCGTGATCCCCTTGCGAAAAGACAATATCTTACCAGCTCAATGAGTCCTGGGTAGAGTCTTGAAGGCCTCGCCCAGGATCATATGGCATCATATGGTTCGCGCAGTTATAGTTAGGTCGGCTACTAGCACGTTTTCCTGAAACGTCAAACGATTCGTACCGCTCCCAATATATGAAGACTCCACGAGCAGCACATAAATCTCTGTAATCAATAATGTAACGAATCCTTTCAGAAATGTCAAATTACACACTGGCTCCGTTCATTTAATTGGCAGTACCGGATGAAAAACATTGCTATTGAGAGAGAATCCAAATACGGCGCAATTAGTTTGAAGACTACGGTAGCGTCGGCAATTTTCTGATATTAGGAGCCGTTATTCAGCCAAAGAGCTCGTATTGTGTTTGCATTATATTGTAAATACATTTTTGAATTCATGATTGTGCGACGCGTAAGGCCGGTTACTGCAGGTATACTCGGACTGTTACGACCAGATCGCTTGGACCCAGATGGTTCGCAAGTGGCCGACGATGGCCTGCAGAATTATGCCCCGTGTTGACGGAATTAGTATTTAAAATGATTGTAAGACCTTTTTCGAGAGAGACTAGTTTTGCGAGTTGAGAGGAGCGGGTCAGTGTGGACTAGCGTAGACAGTGTAGTTTAACAGTCTAAAGTAGTAAATCAGCGTAAACCAGTGGAGAACAGCGTAGTATTGCGTAGAATAGATTAAGACACATAGTTTAGTTTAATTATAGTCACTTATAGTCCATTACGATAAACATACAAATACACCTAGGCTTGTTTTCGCCAAAATCTCCGCCATCCCACAGTACTGTACGATTTTCCTTTAATACTCACATAGAAATTCGATATCCAAACAACATTTTTCGTTTTTATTTTTTTTTATTCTTCGATAACGTATAATTCTGTCTGTAGAAATTATAGAACAAGACAAAATTAATAAGCAGATTAATTATCATAATGCCGGCGAAATATTGCATCTCTGGACAACCAGGAATGAAAGCTTGCATCAGATACGTTATTAGGACCACGAATTGTACCTGTCGAGAGAGAAAAAGCATGAATGGAGAAATTGCGAGAGTAGATATCTTCATTTCGTGATATATTTAACTCCTTGATCTACGATATCGTATATCGTAACGATAACCCGTAACGAAAATTTTAAACTGAATTCGAGAAATCCAAGTGTTATTTATTTTTCCACATATAAATTAAATATTACCTACTTTTCTATTATAAATTGTTAACCTTTGGGGTAAACGTAGGCATAGAATAAGCCTCAGTATTTTTTCTTTCCGTAATGAACTATTGAGGATAAAGTATTTGTATCGATCATAGTTAAATAAATCAGAGAATAAGGGGTTAATACGAAACTATAAGTTTCAACGCACTGTTGATCGACCACGAGTACATTCGTGTTTGATCATATATGAACGTAAGCAATTAATACAATACGAAATGTTGGAAATTTTGATTACAATAATGATGTTTATCTGAGATAACGTTTTGTTTTGTTCGTATCTCGTCGTATCTGGTTGACTTTTAATAATAATCAAGTACTCAACGTTTTTTTAATGCTTGCGTCATTTTCGTAATGCGAGTTACACAACGCTAGAATGACGCGGGTGAGTCCGTAACGTACAGTGAGAAACGGATGAACATGTGTCTAACACGTTTTAGATTTTAATTATTTATAACTAGGAAATAAGGCTAAAATAGCAATTGCTTTTCTTTACTATCGCCTTGTTTCTTTAAAAAAGGCATCTCTTAAATTCCATTGTTAAATTCTTCATACAGGGTGCATCAAAGTGACATGTACAAGCGGACACAAAGTAATTCTTCGGGAAAGAGTAAGGAAAATAGAATAAAACTTTTTTATTTAAAACTTCGTTTGCGACAAATTCGAACTTGAAAATCTGCTGTTAATTATAAGGCCTAACAAAATATGGTTGTAGAAATATTTTCTTTGCGTTTTCTTGAAATTAATCATTAATAAAGGCGCGTATGCCAAAATTTCAAACTGGTCCCGAATTCGTTTTCACATTTTTTGTTATTTTTTCACGAGGAGTTACTCCATGCTCGTTTGTATATATTATTCTGACGCACCTTGTATATTAAGTGTAATGGAATGTTATTTTTTCTTTCAATTAGTAATCTTTATTACGAATGGATTAAAAGGTGAGAAGACATTTCAGTCAGTTCAAAAATACTAACAGTATACATTTTATTTGATATTTTTGTCTTCTAATTGGAAATATATGAAACGTCTTCTTATTTTAAATTATTAAAGGCTTTATTACAATGCATGAATGAATGAAAATACGTGAATGTATTTTATCAAACTCAATGAATATATTAAAAGTAATATCTGATTCTTTCTTTTAATTTAGAGGGCACTAAATTTGATTTTTGATCCTTTACTTACCATTTGACACGTGGTGAGTATGGGCTTAAACGGTGCCAGCATTTTTTGCATTTCTGGGCCGTAGGAGGTCAACAAGTAATAGCTGTACATTATTATGTGTATTATGCTATTTACAAAACCAACCATAACAGCATACCCGTTGGGAAAGTATTTTACCGTATACCAACTCAACAATACCGTGGAGACATGATGGTACAAATGTAAGAACGAAACCTGTCTATCTTTCTTCCTTAAAACGAATACAATAGTCTCGATGTAGTCGCTTATTTTTACGTTCAATCCCAACAACAGCATTGCTATAATCTGTAATTACGTTATGACTTAATTTACGAAAATACGAATGATAAAAGCATCTAATCAGAAATTATTGATCATGAACTGTTATTTCGAGCTATCAAAAATAGTTTGTTTCACATATTAAACAGGCTTAAGTAATTATTAGGTTGGTTGAAAGGTCTTGCCATTTTATTCACCAATAAAGCGTTTATATTATATTGCATTTATAAATGTTGTAAATAGTTAAACTAAAAGATAATAGAAAGTTTTCGAATACACTACGAAACACATAGTTCCATGAAGTTTAATTTAACGTAGTCAAATTTTTCTTTAAAACTTCATTAAAAAGGGAGACGAGACTTTCAAGCCAACCAATATATAGAGTTAAGTATTTTGCAGTTGAAAGTAATTTTTTTACATGTGAGATAATGATATTCTGTTTCGTTGTTCTGCCACATAAGAGAACTTATAAAAAATGCGATAGTGATAAACCTTGTGGTACGACTCTCAAACCATTACTAGAATTGGACTAAACAATATTCATGTTTTTTTTAAGTAATAAACGCCGTGAAACTTTTTGTGCGCCGAAAAGTTGTTTAATATTAGTTATTAATATTATTAGTATTCAAAGTATGAAGTTAAGAAAAAATTAAAAAATAAATCGTTTGAAGTAGACAACGGCACTGTTGTTTTAAATTTTATTGAACCGATTCGAGGATCAATGAATTTTAATCTGACTTGATCTCTAGCTCTAACTGTGAGTACTCTTGTTCGATTACATGGTAGTACATTGGCAATAATCATGACTGGTTGTGATTTAACTTGATCTGGCCATACTGTTAACAGCTAATGTGAATCAGGTCTTACTGTATCGAAGTGTAAACAATTACGTATGCCATACATGCATATGTTCTAATAGCGAGTATATTCTGACATAACGATTAACGCGTTGACTGCTACGATGGTCACCAATGACCGAAATTTCTGAATTGCCCAAAAATCACAATTGTCTCTAATTAAGTAAGCAGTAAGTAATAGTAAAAAGATTGATATCGAATAAAAATATTCAGTAACATAAGTAACTAGAGAATAGTGTAATGTAAGGACTGCGATACTAAATCACTAATATTTATTTCCAACGCTGTTTACTTTTGCTAGGGAAGCATAAGCGTATGTATAGAACGCTCTAAATTCTCTGGGCGGTCAACGCGTTAATTAATTAAGAAATTAAAGTCATACCTTCATCGGTTTGTCATTGTAGGAGTAATCCAATTCAGTACAGAATAAAAATCCGTCCCCAAACCAACCAGCTTCATATGTTAGATATATCATGTATAAATTTATACAAATTTGAAACACATTGTACCAAAAGATGAATGTTTTGAGAGAGTACGGTTGTTTGTTTTTCATGTATCTTGGACCATAGTCCAGAACATAGTATAAGTACGCTGCCGATATCAGAAGAATTGGCACAGGTGAAGATATCAGCGGGTGAATGTTGGTTCTCCGATCTGCCATACATTTTTTTAAATTAATATATTTTAATGGTAGTAAGAATTGTGATTTCTTTATTTGTAGCTTTATGTTTTGGAAAGTTCTATTTCCAAAGCCAAATTATGAACAAAACGCCTTATCTCTTTCGAAGTTGTTGAGACCGATTCATAGTATAAATAAAAAATGATTTCTTTGGTTCGAAGTTTCACTGTTTCACAGTAAAATTTTCATTTTAGAATGATTCTATTATTTCTATTTTTCAATTAATGTATCAGCAAAACAGTGTTGTATTGTATTTAATGGATTTCTAATAACAAGCCTTAATAACAGAAACGATATCAAAATATATAAGGTGACCCATTTAAATAGACCTACTTGAACGTATTCGAAACTACTGATGACACAGAAAAGTGTATAGAAAAAATGTGGAAAAAAACCTGGGTAATTTAAAGGGGTACGTTATGTGATAAGTTGCTTCTTTCTATATGAAGGTTAACTTGGTTTCGGTTTTAAACAGAATCGTATATTTTTTTATGCGTTATTAAATAATGGTACATATAGCTTTTACTGCACTTAAGAAAATGATGAATTCCATTAATTACTGCATTAAAAAAATACATGATTCCATTAAAGAAAAAAATGAAGTTGATTTTTACATTCTCTATGTGATTCTGTGGCTCTTATAATGAAATATTCTACTGAAAAAGTTGAAACACTTTGTAAATAAAATATGACAAAATTTTTCAATGATATTGAACATGTATTAATCACGACATTACATAAAAATTAATCCCTACACGTACGTAATCGAAATGATCGTAAATAGAATGTGATTGGTAAAAAACTAATTTTAATCATCTGTGCTACTCTGTAATACTACAGTTAACGTATCGTTACTGGACTTCGAATTTTATACATTTTTGATAAATTTGAGTACGTGAAATATAAAACACAGAAATTTTCAGAAAACTTTAAGAAATCAGTTTTTATTTCGTTCTTGTTTCTTCAAATTGGTTCGACAAATTTTGATTTTATATAAAAATTCTCAGTTTATTACATACCAGCGACTTCTGTAATATAGTGATGATATGTATCCAACAGATTCATGGTTATATTTACTCTAGTAACACTATAATGTGCACACACGGATCTCTCAAATCATTAAATGAAAATAAAAGTATGGATTGATTTTGGCGTCTTTAAGCGAAACTTGAATGATCAACCCGAAACATACAATTGACCGAGAGAACTTCACACTCAAGCTTTTTGTCTTATATATGCCATTCATACGTGTTAATATGCGCATAATTATGACAACAATCCAGGAGAAAATCACGTATTGTATGGAAATTATTACATTCTGCATTCCAGTGTTTCATACGTAAACCATATGAAGATGCACGTGTAAAAGAATTATGGTAGTTATTTAGTTTGGTCGATGGTTTTTAGATGTAAATTAGACTAGTTATGTCGACTTTAAGGAAATGGACCTTTAATTTTGTTAATTACATCAAGTCGGTAAAACTAGTCCGATTTACATCGTATTTGGGCTTATTTTAATTACAACAGTCTCAACAATTCACTGGCACTACATTTAAGAAAATCAGATTGAAAGTAATTAAATTAATATTTCCTTTATTGCATGCTTATATTTGACGCGTGCAGCATTATTTTGAAATCATGTGCCTTGACCCTCGATGATCTGAGAACTGTGATTATTTCACTTCTTCTCACTATACGCGTTCTCTGAGTTTGTCAAAATGTGTTCGAAAAGTTTGTGTCTCCTTACCGCACTTGCCCCTTCAATTCGAAAGATACGTGAAAAGATATTGTCTGCGGATGAAAAATTGCTAAACTTGAAAGTAATATAAATTTATAAAGAAAAAATTACTTTCGAAGTATTAAACTTAATGACCTTAGACAGCGGTTTTCCGAAACACTGCAGATCACAATTTATCGCGCACGGTCGCCGAATTTGTGACGCGTCGCGGTAAACCAACCGCTCTAAAACAAAAAGGCGGACGTGTGTAGATGATTTTATTTTTTAATAAAAATCTTAAAACCTTACTGAATACAACTGTGCTTGAAAGAACACCGGGACAAGTACACCAAGTTGTACAACTGTATGAAATATCGCTGATGTATTAGTTATGTTAAAATGTGAATATTTACATAAATATTCATGGTAAAAAGGTAATGAACTATTAAGGGTAGAGTATATATGTACCTAAAAATTTTGAAAGTGAAGAAAAATTCGTACAACTTTTCTAAAGCATATGGAAAATGTTGCGAGGAATTTCAAGAGTAAAACGCGTAGTCGAAAAATGCCTAATTTTCGGGATAGCTCAACAATTTTCGAGTTCTCCAAGGACAGAAAATTTGTAGAACATTGTTCTTTACATAATCAGCTATGTGGAGCAGTAACAATTTTTCGGTTTAGGTAAAATTTTTATAATGGATTTTTGGCCATCCAGATCGAGCGAATATTCCACTGTGCGCCGCGAAAAACGTGAAGAATCGAGAAACGTCTCGCGAGCTCGGAAACGCGAACGTTCTGAAAGCGCAGCGCAAACAAATAAAAACGCCGGGCTTCTAGATCGTTTGTATCGAATCACCGCCGGGAATGGACGTTATCCATTTTCGTTCCTTTTCTTATTAAATCTCTCTTATTTTGAAAGCCTGGGTTCTCTTTAGAACCGCTATCCGTCCCAATGCTACATGTACTCACGAGTGTTTTAACACTATTCCTACCGACACTCCATGTATACCTATTCCTACTGCGACCAGTCAAATGACTGGTCTTTAGCACAACTTATATTTTTTAATATAGAATGAGGATAATAGATAATTTGGTACACACGTACTTTTTACATTTTAGACAGATTTTGTTAGTCTTATTGTTTGTGCAATATCTTATTTGGCATGGTTTCCGTTCGTGTGAACCTGTACTTGTATTTGTGACGGGTGTTGCTTGATCTTCTTTGCCTAACTTTAGTTCTTTTTGATATTCAATGGCAAGTTCTTCTGCCAATTGAAATAAAAATTCCTGCCTCGAAATTTCTTCTCCCGTGGATTCTTTATATAAAATCCATGCATTTATCCCGGCTAAATCTAGGGTATTGAAAAATACCTGTAAAGGCTATCTCCGTCATGTAGATTTTACCGATTTTACCGAGGCCGATAGGCGAGCGAGAACTGTAAACACTTGAAAGTACCGTAAGGCACTTTTTGGCTAAAATCATGCCACAACTGCATTACTTTTCGTTTGCAACGACTTTATAGTTTCGGAATAGAGTCTTTGAGAGAATACTATTACAAAAAGATATAAATCGTTCTACCGGTCAAATGACTGGTCGTGGTAAGTAAGACAGACTACAAATTTTTCTCAGAAAATAAACAATAGAAAAAGGAGTGAATATTGAAAAATGTTTCATACATATATTTTAGGAAAAGTCGTGAAGTATAAACGCGATTTAATGACGTTGTCTATAGGAAATTCTAATCGAAATTTTAAAAATAGTCATTTGACTGGTCGCGGTAGGAATAGTGTTAAGCTCGATATACACTCTCGGTTTGCCCTCGGTCCATTCAAAACTCATTGCCTGTCTCTTTCCTATGAACGAAGATAAAATGAAATAGAACGGACGAATTAGGATACACAGCGTGAATACATACATTGTAAACAATTGCGTCATTCGAAATGTACACGAGTAGATTGCGTGACCACGTAGTGACGATCATTCTGGAGTAATAGAGTCAAATACATACGACCTTTTCTATTTAATTAGTTTGCACCTAATGCATAGAGCAAAGTTCTTCTATTTCGAGAAAAGAATACATAGTACGTAAGGGAAGCGAGATCGAATGCGATGAAGTTGTATGTAACGATAAAGAACAGAAGTCTCTATAGTTCCGTCTTATTCCGTCGACATAATATCATTCACGAAGATGAAAATATTTGCGAGAGAATAAGATTAAAAACAATTAATCGAAGTAATTATTCATAATTAATAAGGTAAATGCTACACCGAATCTTGTTTCATCTTAATTCTAACTTACTATTCATGCTACAAATAGACACCGTCAAAACAAGACCACGTGTCCTCTAATTCTTTGATAGTTCGTGAAGATGAAATCCATCAATCGGCTAATTCAAATTGTTAAATTTTTTTCTGAATGGAACTTAATAATAAATTCAGTTATTCGTAAGATATCTAAAAAAACATAGAGAATAAAACTAAGAACGTTAAAACCGGATTATGTACTTACAAGTAGCTTCGAATTTTTTTACAATAAACTTTTTAGGCAATTTCACGATAAAGGGTGAATTGTAAATTGTCAACATTTTTCCTGAGCAGATTGATCATCTGTGATTTTCATAATTTTTTTACGATCTGCCAAGTGATTCTGATCACAGTGGCACCGCGTATTGGCGTAGCTCGGACTCGGAGACCGAGAGCGTGATCCACATATCCCTTTACAGCCGAACTGGAAATCTTGTGCCTGCGACGTTGTGTAGGCTACTTCCTTCAACCTTTAGACTATCCTCTTTTATTGCCCTATATTCACACTCATTCTTACATTCACACTTTTAAAAAATATCCGAAGCCATGCTAGATACACTGATATGTAATTTTTATAAAGATTGGAACAATTGTGTGATGTGGGTGTATTGACGAGTGTACGTGTGTGTGAATAGAAGACACGCGAGTTCGCGTGCGCGTGTAATATGAATCAATGTTCAATACGTTGGAATATTTTAGGCTGATTTTTTGGAACATTGATTGAAAACATTCTTCTTTTAAGGATTAAAAGGCTTTAAATGTCACACGTACACGGCATCTTTGATCTCGACAGTTTTTACTATTTTTCATTCCTTCTTTCCTTTTTCTACAATTTAGATATAGTATGTGTTCAATAAAAGCGTGCTTAAATAATAACAAAAATTTGTTTAAATAATAAAAAAATTTACATTGAACAGATGGAGATATTTGAAATAATTTTGTTTGGAATAGTTTGCCCTATTTGGAATAGTCTGACCAGTAACGTAGAATATCGATCAAACGCCGCGGTATACATACCTATGTGGAGAATAGAATTCTACTGCACCAGACTTGGCGAAGTAATCGTCATTCATTAGATTCGCCATGGTGAATCTATCCGAATGATCGTTATTCTCCTCCATTACAAGTATTAATTGAAAACTGTTGCAGTTGCATTCCGCGAATGCCACGTGTCAGTATTCGAATATGAGAGGTACGAAATAATAGTTACACAAAGCTATCTTAGTAAGGAATGAAAGAGGATGTCAGTTTCGAAAGATATAATAATATTCGCGAAATAAATAGTTATATAAATAATTTACATTTTTAGTTACTGATTTAGTTGAAATTTTGTAATATAGCTAATGTATAGAATATTAAAGAAGAATATATAAGAGGGGAAAAAATAAATAAAATGATTAAATACTTACAACTTATTTTCACTAGTGTTCAGTGACAATATAATTTAATCTGATATTGAAATAGTACAAGTTACTTAATTGATTAACAAATTGAATATTTACAGTTTAAAACGATACAATAAAAATGAGATTTAAACTTACCCAGCGGGTGTTCACTTGCTCCTGAAAAACAAAACCAGTTTCATTAGAACTTGTTGAATTATTATGTCATTATTATACAAATTATATATTAAAAGTATTATGTAAGTTAATTAAATTTTGTATCGGTCATAATTTAAAATATCTCTTAATGTATGTGCTTTACTAGTTTAAATATTAATTACTTTAAATTTTCGACAAATATATTTATTTCTTTATTTATTGTTCGATAACAATATTTTTACTGTTGCAGGAGATTGCGTGTGACTACATAAACGCAACGCGTTTCTCAAGAAAATTGTGAAACATCACAGTATCCTACGTGTTAACGTTCCTATAAAACGAGCCGTTCACGATTAAATTGAAACCTCCAGACTATTTGCAATATTTGCAGTTTCAGACGAAGTTTAAATTACTTTCAGTATTATAAAGATAGATTTTCAAACGTTTTAATTTTCTCGGTGAAAGAAACCTCAGAAAAATCTGAGAAATGCTGCTAAGAACTGGCATGTGCAGTTCATATTAAACTTCTGAAGCAATGAAACTGTTCGTCGAGTGGTTAGATCAAAAGAAGTACGTTAAGGTTTAAGAGTACTTAAAGATTTTGTTAATATTATCTAAAGAAGTCACAGAAAAATTATGTGACAGATAGAGTGGTTTTAACAATAACCTTTACAAAGGAACACAAGACCGTAAATAAAATCTTAAATGAATTTCAAATATACTTAAAACATTATATACAAAGTGAAACCTCAAGTATATCTCACTTTCTAGTAATCTTTCATAATTAGTTTGAGAAACGTTGTGAAAATTTGTATTTCCTTATTTTCTATTTAACGGAGCAGAGAACAATTTTGTTCCTTGTCTAATGAATTTCTGGTTGTCAAAATAATGTAAAATAACTGTCCTTTTTATTAATAGATACAATCTTTTGTATTTAATAAATTTACACATCAATCTATTATTACGACTTACATAAGAAGCATTACATAATAGGAATAAACAGGAACAAAATTTATTATTTTTATACAATAAACTTTTATTTTTATTATAATAAAAACTTTAATTATGATGGTACCATGATGTCTTTTCATACACCTTACACCCTACCTATTTAATATAAACATACAAACACTGACTAATCGAATCATGCGTGACAGCGGGTATTAAAATGTTAATTAGATATACCAATATGAAATAAGAACAATTGTGTAAGAATTTCGTCGAAGTATATCATGGGGGTGGCTTTCTTGAGATCTCACTGTTCGTTAATCAATTTCTTTTGCAGCATCAAATAATTTCGATAGTAACTGAAAGGTTTCTCAATCCATCGAAACACGGCGGACCTCCTTTATTATTGATTATTGTTATAAATATTATTATTATCGATTAAATTTATTAATTTTTATTATTATTAATTATTATCGATTATAACTTATTATGTATTTAATTATTAGAAAATTCTGAAAAATCGCTAGAATATACGGGGTGCTCATTTTAACTAGAGCACCTAAATTATTTGCGTGATTATTGAAAGTAAGAAAAAATTGATTGAATAGAATATATACATGGTTTTGAGGCGAACATCTGATGATGATAAAAAAAACCTGCAAAGGTCATATTAACGGCTTTTCAAGGTCATCGTACTTTTTTACATATTAACACTTAGCGGACCAGAGGTATTTCAAGATACCGCCAGGTTCAAGTTATATAAAATACGGTTAGGTCATAAGGTCACAGTGTGCAGGTCATTGAACTCCTCTTGACACCGACAACCATATCGTATTATAAAAAAGACATGTTGTTAATATACAAAAGAAAAAAATACGATGACCTTGAAAAAACCGTTAAAATGACCTTTATGGGATCTGTGTTTATCACCATCACGTGCACACTTTAAATTCATGTATATCCTATTTAGTCAATTTTTTCTTACTTTCAATAATAGCGCAAACAATTTAGGTGCTCGAAATTTAAAATTAACACCCGGCATAAGGCGCTCCACAATTACGAATCGATCAGTCTGTAATCGTCCGTTACCGTGTGTTATTCTTCATTACTATGCCTATCATTGTGAAATTTATAATTTAATAAACCTGTGTAAGTTTATCGTCCTTCTGCGTACAACAGAAATTTTATTTGAAAAGTTCAGCTAAAATCTGCATATGTTTCATATGCTTTAGAAATGGGTATTTACGCGTTGCCCCAATGCTTACGGACAACGGTGCACATTGGAAGCTTTGCTAACATAAAGATAGAAAATTCTATGGGAGACGTTCAAGAAAAAAAAGCTGCCAAGTCTGGTGAAACACGGATCTATCTAGAGTGCTCCTTTCGAGGATATACCGTCTGTTCTGACGTCCATGCAGATGTTCCTTGTTGTAATCCAATAGTTCAGATCCTGGGTGACGTGTACGTACAGTAAAACCTATGATACGAACGGAATATGGGCAGGAGACACACATCGTGAGATCTTTGGGAATTCCGAGATTTATATCCGGTATCTACTCCTTTGCGTCGCAAATCGAATCGAATCTCGAATATTTTATCAAACGCAGCGTGGCAAGCGCATCTATTCTAGTGGAACAATGTTTAAACTAATAGAAATGTAAAGACTCATTGATCAAATGATCAAACTTGAAAATAAATAATGGTGAGAAATTATAGTGGAATAATTGAAAAATTAGTTCCTGATAAAATATTATAATAAAATAAATAAATACTTTATACTTGACGGAAGGTTTGTAACTTATTTCGGTGATCTTTTGAAAATAAAAATTAATAAATTAAAAATTATAACCGGATCGATAGTCTTTAAAAAATTGGTAAAGACAATTAATAAATTTATATTTATAATGTATTACGATAAAATTCATTGTTTATTTCAAAAAGATATGTAATTAAATCTCTATTTTATGAAATAACGAGATGTCTTAAGACCTAAATAGAATTTTGCATAATTTAGGATGATGATTTAAGAAATTTGAACAATGTATTAGAGTTAGCAAATGAAATAAAATTATATAGTGCATATGAAAATTGCCAACAAAACGTATAACTTGTGAATTATTAAGTAGTAATAATTTTGTGACATACAGAATCATCAAAGTATGGATCCACACCTCGTTACACATGTTTACAGACTAATTTATGAAATAATAAAATAAATAACTTTTCTTCCAACCAATGGTTGCAATACGCGATAAACAAAAGAAAATAATGGTAAATTGTATCAAAGCTCATATCTATAATATTTACAGTACAAGTTTAATTGAAATAATCTTGCGAATGAAATTTTATTTCAAAACCAGCCAATCTTAAATTTCAACAACTCCGATTAATAACGACTACTACTATAAACTGATATCATCAATATCATTATTAAACGTTACCTACAGTAGAATAATCGTAAAAGAATCAGGCAACCTAATTCCTCTAAAGTGTTGAGGATATCACCATCCATTCGCGGAATTGCGAGTTAACCGAGGCCTTATTACCCCGGGAAAGTTCCATCGCGAAATGATATTTTTCCGGAAACAAAGAAATAACCGAGCGCCACGCTATAAAGGCTGTGATGATCAACAAACAGTCTCGGCCCAAAGAGACCCGGGAATGCCGCGGGATCCTGCGTGTCTGGAAAGTCGAACGAAAATAAACGAGAGTGGTTCGATGTAGGTTGAGGGAATGAGGTTAAGTTCTAGGATACCGGAATCCACGGCGGCGGAACAGAGCGAGTACAGACTCCCAGCGAAATTTATGCCTCAGACTTCGGTAAAATTTATGCGTCAGACCGCGATGAAATTTACCCTTCAAACGGAATAACGTCTGATACCGTGGAAGGGACGATTGAAAAGCGGTCCATCTTTCGAGGACCTTTAATCTTTCACGACCGACTATTTATTATGGAATACGATTACTTTACATTCGCGGCCGGGCCATTCGGGGAATGATCGAAAAATGTATCCGGCTCGGTCATAAATATTAGCTATCGGGGAAAAGTTTGCGCGGCTTTTATAGCGTCCACTTCAAACAATGATAAATTTCGGAAAATATTAGAACGCCCGGGAATGTACGTATAACAGGGCCATTTGTTGTACATTACGCTTGAAATTCTGTAACCGCGCTCGAAATAAATTTATTTAATCGAAATGAAACACATCGCTGTTCGCGTGCCCCTTTTCACGTGTGACGTAAGCTTTCGGGGATAGCGCTATGAAAACAGGATCAATTCATTTTTTTGGAACCATTGTACCGTGGTCTTCGTTACGAAAGATTTTCCATTGAAAAATGAGGTTATTATATAAAGAGAATGTTGGATGATTTGTTTAAGACTTTGATCTCCGTTTGATTCACTTTGAACAGGTTGCGATATGACAATTTGAATTTAATGAAATGGCTGTTTAATATGTAACATATTATATAGCAATTTGGTGCAATATTTTATCGCAGTGCGAATCGTATGTAGATAAAATATATATGAATTGATTTATTTAGTGATATTGCAATTAATTTCACTTTATCTTATATTCATATCATTATTCCTAATGAAACAACATGTTCTGCCGACAATATGAAAATTACAGTTTCTCGAAAATGCTTCACCATAATAATCATAATGATAGCAATAATAATAGTAATAATGCTTGAAAAGATGGGTAACAATTCATATTCAACAGTTTATTATGATAGCATTATACAAGGATAATGTGCATTATAGTATAATATACTCCGTAGCTTCATATATTTGAATTAAACGTGATTGAATCTGTATATGATATGCGAAACATTAAACGAGACTGTCGGTGGTCTTATACTATTTCTGATGTTTGATCAGAAGTTGAGGGTATAATTAAAACAGCGTATTGTGTCATAATAAAACAATATATTATTAGGAAAATCGAAAATAATTTCGTTCATTCTGATATCCGAGTTTAATTTGTAAATTTTCTTAAAAGCCAATTTAAAAAATGGATCAGAAGATGGAGAACTGTTCTAAAAGAAGAAGAGAATTATATTAAGTTGGC